CCTGAGGGTGAAACGGTCGTATTTGATGTGTAACTCATCAAAGATACCTGAAGTCGCCGAGGAAACCTCTAGAAAGCCCGTTTAGAAGAGGTACTAAAGTGATACGGCGAAAAAAGTAGCCTGATAAATGACGTCTAATCTGCTATACGCCCTACACCAGTGCTTGTAAACGTCTAACGATGATTTGCAGAGGACCGACTGATACCCCATTGGTCAGAGAGTGTTTTTGTGACTCATTATTAAATTGGTTCTATCCTTATGCACATTCCAGTGCCCTATTTTAATATAGTATCGTGTCAGAACTTTGCAGCACTTGAAGCATTTTTTTCTTAATATATTTTAACTTCATTAGTTTCAACTGATATGGAGATTGTTAAAAGCTAAGCAGACAGTACGGTTACCTGATTACAAGCACTGGTGTAGGGCGTATAGCAGATATGAGGTGAAGGTGATGGGCGCATTGTTTCGTTTGAAAGAGTTTGGAAGGAAAGGGGCGCACAGCCGCTTCCGACACTGTACTGACGTACCTCTGCAAGCGAGGTGGTTGTTCACGTTACTGTTCTATTACTGTAGTTCAAAAAGGAAAATCGTGCTATGTTTGGCTTTCGCTTGAGGGCGTTTAGAGCAACAAACTATGACACGTGTACCATTTTTTTTTTGTTTTAAAGCCCTAACCAAACTAAGTGAGAACTATATTAAGCTTGCTTAAACTGGGCTGATATCTAAAAGATATAAGAGCGGCTGGCATGAGAAACTGTGCGGTCTTCCAGTGTACTTATGAAAGCAATGTTTTTAATTACAGGAAATGTTTAACAATTATATCGCATTTTGTCAGGAACTTGAGGATCTTTTACTTGCTGGTGGAACAGTTTGAGTTGTTCATTGGCTCTTACCGAATATAAGTAAGCGTATTTCAAGGAGTAGTAAGGCTGGAAGCACTTTAGTGGGTAGCTCCTGATTACAATTTCTTCTTCCTTAAGATTCATCTGTGTACCAAAAGTTCCTCTCTTAGCAGTGTTGCTTAGCCACACGTTTGACAAAATCATTCATCTTTTGTATTTTTTCTAATGTACTATAAACTTCATTTCTGCATTTTTTGAAAATCGGTAGCAGTACAAAAGTAATTTATGAAGAAGTAAGGCCTAATCTTAAGTACACCCTCACAAAGATTTTGCCTTTTTTATCGCACTTTATTTACCATAGTATCTCTTAACTGAGGACTAACAATCATTCTAGACAAAATTCGTAGTACAGACGTGTGTGGAAACTTGCAAATGCCAAACATACTAAATTCTCATTGCGTTCTCTACACGTTTTGGTTAAAGAGCGATATCTCCAGTGAGGAATTGACGTGGAGAAATCAGAACGAAAAAATGCAGATGCGGGATTTTATTTGCAACTTGTACCACAAAGAACCATCTACGAGATGTAGATACAGGCCTTCAGTAAAGCAAAGAATATTGAGTGTCGGTAGTTTGTATACCGTATATCATGGCGTTCCCAATCTTTTTTTTTTTTTTTTTTTTTTTTTTTTTTTTTT